CTTTAAGCTAAAAATGGGAGGGCATGTTTGCTGATGATGACCGGTTTAACGGTAAATGGGACAGCACCGGAAAAAAGAGAATGGTTCATTTTATCAGCTGACATGGCACTTGGAGGGGAAATCAATGTCCATCAATTAAGTGTGATTAGGATTAAGCAAGCTGGAGGTGGGTCATCGAGAAGGTGAATTTGGAGTGGCTACGAGTGGAGATAGAATAGAAGCCAGAGGAAGTTATCAAGTTTAGGACGTGATTAGGGTTTCAAATTTATGCCTGGTGCTTTTTTAAATGTTATAATTGAATCTTAGTTCTACCATCCTTTTATTTAGTGCATTTCACATGTAAAACCTCACTGTGTAAAAATATGCTTCTTCTGGATTGTTTTGCCAAATAACTTAAATCTGTGTCCTCTGGTTACCTACTGTGATAGTGCATCAACATTCTATCAAAATCTTTCATGATTTTGAACAGCTCAATTAAATCTCAACTTAACTTTCTGTATTTGAATCACAATCTCAGCTTCTCCAACTAATCAGAGTTCCACATCCTGGTCTTTGTTGGTATGTGTCATATCCAGGTATGATATCCCGACATGTGCATTAGGTTTTACGACTGTGCAGTAGTCACACTGATTTTACATCTGCTTGCCACATCTCTGAATGGTAGTGTGGCTGACAGAGCAGGTTTAGGACCTTTAAGATCACACCTGAAGCATTTTCATTAAACTGATAGAGAGCCCTTACAAAGACAGGTGATGGTGGAAAATGTTGATGCTAAAGTTTTTCTTCCATTCAGGGGATGTAGGCATCACTAGCTGGGTCAGCACTTAATGCCTATCTCTAATTGCCCTTGAGAAGACGATGGTGAGCTGCCTTCTTGAACCCCTGTAGCTCTTGTAGAGTCATAAAGATGTACAGCACAGAAACAGACCCTTCGGTCCAACACCTCCATGCCGACCAGATATCCTAAATTAATTTAGCCCCATTTGCCTGCATTTGGCCCATTTCCCTTTAAACCCTTCCTATTCATTGAATACAGTATTACAAAAGTGGCCTAAGCAATGTCTGTATAGCCGCTACATGACCTCTCAACTCTTATACTAAATGCACAGGCCAATGATGGCAAGCATACCAAAAGCCTTCTTCACTACCCTGTCTATCTGCGACTCCACTTTTAAGGAACTATGAACCTGCACTCCAAGGTCTCTTGGTCGAGCAACAGTCCCCAGGGCCTCCACTATTATAAGTCCTGCCCTGATTTGCCTTACCAGAATGTAGCAACCTCACATTTACCTAGATTAAACTCCATCTGCCATTCCTTGGCCCATCTCAACAAGGTCTCGTTGTACTCCAAGGTAACCTTCTTCGCTGTGCACTACACCACCAATTTTGGTGTCATCTGCAAATTTACTAACCATACCTCCTGTATTCACATCCAAATCATTTATACAAATGACAAAAAGCAGTGGACCCAGCACCAATCTCTCTTGTGGTGTAGAGATAGCGACATTGCTGTTAGGGAGGAATTTCTGTGGCTTTGATCCAGAAACAGTGAAGGAACAGTCATATATTTCCAAGTTAAGACAATGCACGGTTTGGAGTGGAACACACATGTGCTAGTGTTGCCATCTATCTGCTGCCTTTTTCCTTGAGAGAAAACTATGCTTGTATCATTTTTATCTGCAAAGGTGCATATAGCTGTCATGTCATGAGCAGCATCCATGTTAAGTGGCCCTGATTAAAATTCACAATTATGCACATGGAAATGAGTGTGGTATTGTGCCGAAAGCACCTTACAACAATGCTGTTTCCCAATGTGGTCAAAAGATGTCATGTCTAATGTACAAAGGGTGTCTCCTGGATTTATTACTGTATCTTCTTAGCCAGGAGGCAGTACTCTGAGTTGTCTTCTGCCCAGATCAGGACGGCATGATTTGATGACTTTGACAGCTCAGATATAATGATATGGGCAGTATTTGTGTTCAACTCCTGGTAAGGGGATGAGACTGTAGTGACTACTGCACACTGCCAGGAGACTCTACCTCTTCAGCCTTCTGAACCTGCCAAATGGGAATTTTGCTTGAAGCACTCATTTCCTCAAACTTCTGTCTGAAATCTTTCAAGGAATCTCATAATCTCTTGCTCACTGTGCTTCTTTCATTTGTTGTGCAGTGTCTATAAGAGGCTATGCAGGACAGCAAGACTTATTCAAATCTCAAAGGGCATTCACTGAGAATTTCATTAACACTCACGAAGCTTCCAACTATTGGTCAAGGGATGGAAGGGGTGGCTGTGTGACCTTGTAGAAGTATACAATTAGAGGACCATAGGATAATTTCAGGATAGTAGGAGTCTGTTTGGCATTTGGATCCATGCCAACTTTCTGCAACGGAAACTCAGCTAATCCCACATCCCACTGCCTTTCCCCCACATCCTTGTCTCTTCCCATAATGATCCAATTCACTTTTGAAAACCTAGATTGATGTTGCCTCCTCCAGTGCAGTCCAGATCCTAAATACTCACTATGTAAAATAGTTTTTCATCATATTATCTCAGCTTCTTTTACCCTCTTAAATCTGCGTCCTCTGGTTCTCAATCCCTCCATTAACGGGAATGGCTTCTCTCAATCTGCTCTGATCAGACCCCTCTTGACTTTGAAAACCTTGACCAGATCTTCCCCTAATCTCTCCAAGAACAGTCCAGCTTTACTAATTTATCGTTGTCAGAAATCTCTCATTCCTGGAAAGATTTTCAGTCTTTTTCTGCATCATATTATTGTTCTGTGTCTTTTATTTTATATTACCTATCCATGTTCTTCTGTTTTTCACTTCTCTGCATCCTCAATCCACCGGCCTATGATGCGAATTGTATTAATCTTAAGTAAGGTCTACAACTGGAGGATAATCATGAGAGGAGGAGGTAGTCTTTTCTCTCAGAGAGTCATGAATCCTTGGAAATCTCTTCCTGAAAAAGTGGTGGAAGCAGAGTCATTATTTTTAAGTCAGAGTCATACAGCATGGAAACAGACCCTTCAGTCCAACCAGTCCATGTCGAACATAATCCCAAACTAAACTAATTCCAACTGTATGCTCATGGCCCACATCCCTCCAAACCTTTACTATCCATGTACTTATCCAAATGGTTTTTTTTAAACATTGTAATTGTACCCACATCCACCACTTCCTCAGGAAGTTCATTCAAACCACCCTCTGTGTAAAAAATTTACCGTATATATTTTTTAAATCTCTCTCCTCTCACCTTAAAAATGTGCCCCCTAGTCTTGAATCCACCATTCTAGGGAAAAGACAGCTACCATTAATCCTATCTGTACCCCTCACGATTTTATAAACTTCTTTAGGCTCACCTCTCAATCTCCTACACTCCAGTGGAAAAAAGTCCCAGCCAGGTAGTCAACATGGCTTTGTGTGTAGGAAATTGTGTGTCACTAACTTGATTGAGTTTTTTGAAGATGTAATGAAGAGGACCGATGAGGGCAGAGCGGTGGACGTGATCTATATGGACTTCAGTGAGGCATTCGACAAGATTCTTCATGGTAGACTGGTTAGCAAGCTTAGATCACGTATACAGGGACAACTAGCCATTTGAATACATAACTGGCTCGAAGGTAGAAGTCAGATGGTGATGGTGGTGGAGCGTTGTTTTTTGAACCAGAGACCTGTGACCAACGGTGTGCTACAAAGATCGGTGCTGGGTCATTGCTTTTTGTCATTTATATAAATGATTTGGATGTGAACATAGGAGGTATGGTTAGTAAGTTTGCAGATGACACCAAAATTGGAGGTGCAGTGGACAGCGAAGGAGTTTACCTCAGAGTACAACGGGATCCTTATCAATGGGCCAATGGGCCAAGGAGTGCCAAATGGAGTTTAACTTAGAAAAATCCTGCATTTTTGTAAGGCAAATCAGGGCAGGACTTATACACTTAATGGTAAGGTCCTGGGGAGTGTTGCTGAATAAAGAGACCTTGCTTGAAATGCAGCTTCATACCTCCTTGAAAGTGGAGCCCCAGGTAGACAGGATAGTGAAGAAGGCGTTTGGTACAGTTGCCTTTATTGGTCAATGCATTGAGTGTAGGAGTTGGGAGATCATGTTGTGGCTGTACAGGACACTGGTTGGGTCACTTTTGGAATATTGTGTTCAATTCTAGTCGCTGTGCTATAGGAAGGATGTTGTGAAACTTGAAAGGGTTCAGAAAAGATTTACAAGTATGTAAGGGTCCAGGCCCGAAACGTCAGCTTTCCTGCTCCTCTGATGCTGCTTGGCCTGCTGTGTTCATCCAGCTCTACACCTTGTTACCTAACAAGGATGTTGCCAGGGTTGGAGGGTTTGACTTACAGGGAGAGGCTGAATAGGCTGGGGCTATTTCCCCCTGAGTGTCAGAGGCTGAGGGGTGACCTTATAGAGGTTTATAAAATCATCAGGGGCATAGATAGGGTGAATAGACAAGGTGTTTTCCCCAGGGTGGGGGAGTCCAAGACTAGAGGGCACCTCAGTGAGAGGGGAAGGATTTATAAAGGACCTAAGGGTAACTTTTTCACACAGAGGGTGGTGTGTGTATGGAATGAGCTGCCAGAAGAAGTGGCGGAGGCTGGTACAATTGCAACTTTTAAAAGGCATTTGGATGGGTACATGAATAGGAAGGGTTTAGAGGGATAAGGGTCAAGTGCTGGCAAATGGGACTGGATTAATTTAGCATATCTGGGCGGCATGGACCGAAGGGTCTGTTTCTGTGCTAAACAACATCTCTGACTTTATCCTTATAACTCAAACCATCCATACCCAGCAACTGTCCAGTAAATCTCTTCCAAACCCCCTACATCTTAAGCTATAACTGGGCGAGAGGCAGCTATTATCCTATCAAACGAGGGATTAAAGTGGTTTTGGGGCTGGGGGCATGTAGAGTAATCTTATTGAATGGTGGAGCAGGTCATTCATATGTTATGGAATTATTCCATCACAAATGATACTTACTGATATTTTGTGAGAGTTAGGAGATTTACTGCAGTGGCTGTTGGCTTTATATCAAATGCTTCAAAACAAGACAAAACAAACATCCCACATCCAAGCAAGTTGCTAGGGGCGGGGCGTCTGTTTCTCGGCCCCGCCTCCCGGTTGCCAGCGTTGACGTCAGGTTCTCGGCCCCACTTCCAGGCTGCGAGGGGCAGGGCGTCTGTTTCCTGGCCCCGCCTCCCGGTTGCCAGGGTTGACGCCAGGTTCTCGGCCCCACCTCCAGGCTGCGAGGGGCGGGGCGTCGGTTTCTAGGCCATGCCACTCGGTTGCTAGGGGCGCGACATCGGTATCTAGGCCCCGCCTCCAGGTTGCTAGGGGCGTGACATCGGTATATAGGCCCCGCCTCCAGGTTGCTAGGGGCGGGGCGTCGGTTTCACAGACCTCACCCCCCAACCCACCGCATTCCGTTCTTTCCGTTTATGAACCCAGCTGACGGTTTCACGGTTCTCCTCCTCGCCACACTCGGGTTCCATGGCAGCCGGCTCCGAGACGCCGAGTCTCCGCTGTCGGCCTCTGCTGCTCGTCCTGGCGGCGCTCGGCTTGGTGTGGGCGGCGGAGGGAAGGAGATTGCACTTTGTCAATCTGGTGAGTGTGCGGGATTGAAGGAGGGAGGGTCCAGAAAAGCGGATGGATTTGAGGGAGGAAGGTGAGAGACGGACGGGGGTGGGGGACGTGGTGTGGATGAAAAGGAGGGTGGCATTAGGGGATGAATTAGGGAGAGTGGGAGAGAGAATGGGAGAGTGGGAGATGAGGGAAGGGAGAATGGGAGAACGGGAGAGTGGGAGATGTGGATGAGAGGAGGAGGAGAGAGGTGGATGAGGGGTGGGAGGGAGAGAGACTGGGAGGAGAGGTAGAGAAGAGGGTCAGCCTGGCTTCGTTGAGCCGAATGACCTGTTTCTACGCCGTAGGGATCCTATGATTCCATGACCGAGTGCGGAATGAAGGAGCCCGAACAAAACTGGAATCAAAGTGTATCAGGGGGCAAACTCTCCACTGGTTGGAGTCATTCCTGACGCATAGGAGGATGGTTGTTGGAGATCAGTCATCTCAGCTCCAGGTGTTCCTCAGGGTACTGTCCTCGGTTCAACCATCTTCAGCTGCTTCAATGACCTTCCCTCCATCATAAAGTCAGAAGTGGATGATTGCACAGTGTTCAGCACCGTTTGCAACTCCTCAGATACCTAAGCAGTCCATGTTCAAATGCAACAAGATCTGGAGAATATCCAGGCTTGGGCTGACAGGTGGCAAGTGACATTTGTGCCACACAAATGTCAGGCTATGACCATCATCAATAAGAGACAATTGAACCACCACAACTTGACATTCAATGGTGTTACCATCACTGAATCCCCAATGATTAACATCCTGGGGGTTATCATTGACCAGAAACTCAACAGGACTCACTACATAAACACAGTGGCTACAAGAGCAGGTCAGAGGCTAAGAATACTTGGCAAGTAACTCACCCCCTGACTCCTCGAAGCCTGTCCACCATCTACAAGGCACAAGTCAGGAGTGTGATAGAATACTCCCCACTTGACTGGATGAATGCAGCCCCAACAACACTCAAGAAGCTTGACACCATCTAGGACAAAGCAGTCCGTTTGTTTGGCACCACAACCACAAGCATCCACTCCCTCCTCCACCAACACTCTAACAGCAGTGTGTACCATCTACAAGATGCACTGCACAAATTCACCAAAGATCCTCAGAGATCACCTTCTGAACCCACAACCACTTCCATCTAGAAGGAAAAGGGCAGCAGATATATAGGAACACCATGACCTCCAAGACCCCCTCTAAGCCACTCACCATTCTGACTTGGAAATATATCGCCGTTCCTTCACTGCTGTTGGGTCAAAATTCTGGAATTCCCACCCTTGGTATTGTGGGTCAATCCACAGCAAGTGGACAGCAGCTGTTTGAGAAGGTAGCTCCACATCACCTTCACCAGGGAAACTAGGGATGGGCAATAGATGCTGGACAGCCAGTGATGCCCACATCCCACAAATGAATAAATTTTAAAAAAGAGGGAGATGTAGCTGGACACTGGTAGAGAGGAGAGGTAGATGGGTGGGAGGAGTAATGGAGAGGCGGAGGAGAAATGATAGATGAGGAGAGGAGAAGGTATTGAGACATGGACGAGAGGAAAGATGAGGGGAGAAGAGAAGGAGATGAGGAAAGGAGGAGGAGGGGTGGATGAGAGAAAGGGTTCGGTGGAGGAAAAGAGGGGGTGCAGCGGATGAGGAGTGGAGAAGGAGGGGGCAGGCGACTGAGGGGGGCACAGCAGGGGGGAACAGAGGAAGGATGAGGAGAGTGGGTGGGGAGGAGAGGGCGGCCAGAATGGGTGGAGGATGAGGAGGGGAGGGCAGGCCGGTGAGGACGGGCGGAGGGCAGGGAGGAGAGGGGAAGCGACGACGGGTGGAGGAAGGGGAGGGTGGCGAGGACGGTGGGCAGGGAGGGGAGGCAGTGAGGACCTGCGGGAGGCAGGGAAGGGAGGGCGGCGAGGATGGGATGGGGAGGGGAGAGTGATGAGGAAGGGTAGGGGAGGACAGAGAGGGGAGGGGAGTGAAGGGTGGCGAGGACAGTGAGGGATAGGAGTGTAGGGAGGGGAGCGAGACGAGGTAGAAGAGATGATGTGTGCGTGAGAGAGAGGAGATGAGCAGTAAACCACGAGTGGAGGAGATGGAGGGGACGAAGGAGCGGAGATGGGAGAGGGAAGGAACTAAGGGAGAGTGGGATTAAGGTTTGTGAGTGGATTGGAGTGGACTGTAGGATTAGAGCACGTACAGTGAGGGTGGTGAGGTCAAGAGGTGTGGAAAGGCAGAGAGAAAGAGGTGTTGAGAGATGGAGGAAGAGAATGAGGGAAGGTGGGTGGAGGAGAGATGAACAGAGGCTGATAGGAGTGGAGTCAGTACTCTAGGCGCATGGGTGAGAATTGGAAGATTGGAGGAAGGGAGGCAGATGTGTCTGGATGGAGGGGGAAGGGAGGGAGAAGTGGAGGGAGGGATGGATGGAGCGGGTGAGGGTGGGAGGATTTGTATCTTAGAGAGAAAGATGCTCTTTGAGGCTACGTCTGCAGGAAATGTTTCTGCCATGTACCCTGGGCATGCGTTTTGAGTGCAGTCGGACACGATAGACATCTGTTTGTGGGGACTTCCAGAATATGGACTGTCTAACACACAGAGGGCCAGAAAGCTGTGCAAAAACACACATGTAGGATTGAAACGTATTAGGGTGGGAGAGGCATACTGTCTTTTTTGCTGTATAAACTGAGAGCTCAGATGATGGTGTTCACTACTTTGACAAACAATCCCTGGGAGCCACCAAGGCGAAACCTGGAGGAGAGACTGTGTACTGGAAGAATGATTCTTTCTTCTGTTCTTCATCTTAAAGACTTAGAGTACATTTTGTTAAGTGTTTTATAATGATGTCCTCCCTTCAGTAGAAAGACAGCTACACACCAGGACTTCCTGCTTCCTTGTAGAGGTGGTGTGCGCTGGGCAGCTTTGTGCTGTTTACCTCTGAGCTTAGCACCTTTTGTTCACCATGAAGGAGGGAGGTGGCAGCTTGCAGAGTGGCTCAGGGTGGGCAAGAGTGACTTGACAAGGGGAGGGCAAAGGGACAGGATGGATTAGGGTCAGGGACATGGAGGAGTGAAGTACGAAGACCTGGATGTGGTAGTGGACAGTCAGTCAAGGTAAGAAAATGAGGCTGAAGGGAGGGATGTGGTCAGTACTATCCAGATACAGGGATGCTTTGCCATTTGGTTCACAGAGCCCTTACAGAGCTTTAATTTCACCTACAAGTTTCATTTCTCCCCCATTGAGGGTGGTCTCAGCAATAGACTTCATAACATGTAGAACAAGTTCAGCCATGTCCAACAGAGTGGGGAGGAGAATGTTGGGCACTAACATAAGCTTTCAGTGAAGAGAGAACACAAGCCTCATTAAAGCTAGCCAAGGGGATTGGCAGGATGTGAAACCCTCAAATGTGTTTCAACAAATCATTACGAATGAAGTGTGATGTACTGTGAAATATTCTGAAGTTAAATGTACGTCACAGCCAGGCAGGTATTGTACTCTTGTGCCAGTGGCTAATGATGTTGGCCAGGTAAGTTCTGGCGGTGACACAAAGGAATCCTATTTGTCCCAGGAGGCTATTTAAAAGTCTGTCTGCCCATACCATTGGCTTGTAAGTTGCCAGTGAGTTTCACCAGTGAAGCGATGTGCATGCTGCTGGCATTTTAAACTGGAGTTGGATTTGTGAGGGGATGTGTAAAAAGCACGAGTAGGAGTGGAGCCCACTTCCCTTTCCTCTGTTGGAAAGAATGCCAGAAAGACAAGTGAGAGTCAGTAAGCTGGAGGGTCAGTGAGGGGCTGGGGGTCAGTAAGCTGG